GCAATGTCAGAGGGCCCTTAAAGTCCACTTTACACTAGATGGTACGCTTTGATAATTCCCGAAGGCGAGCGTTTGCAATGCCCCAGAGAAACTACTCTGGGAATCGAATCTTTGATTGTAAATGCTTACTCAGTAGTGAAAGGGATCATGAATCTCAATGTTGATATTGCTTTATAAGCACTGCTGAAACCGGTACAGCCTTTAAACCATGTGCCACCACTGCTTGAGATTAAGCCACTCAAGCATGCAGGCTCATACACCTGGGAGGACACACTGTGCGCGCGCGCACACACACGGAGATCTTAGCTGAGCCGAACAGAGAGTTGGAGGAAGCGAGGCATTGCTATCATGAAGGGTGTGTTTAGGTTGGCACAGTACGTGAGGAGTGGGGCCAGCTTGATGTATCTGTCTTCTAACTGCTGAAGCAAAAACATTAGCTAAGGTGGTAATTTTAGGCTGAATGAAACTATGGAAAAGCCCAAGCCATGTTCATAAGGCAAAGTTTAGAGTATAATTCAGACTTAAAACTTGTGACTGCAGGAATTCATATTCTTGGTTCTTTCGGTAAAGCTACGTAGATAGAAAAAAAAATTAAAATGTAAAGAAAAAAACCCACGACGTTTCAATCGCAACACAACCGGTCTACTGAAGAAGGCTTGTGTTGCGATAGAAACGTCGTGGATTTTTTGCTTTTAATTTTGAATTGTTTTCTATCTACGTGCCTTTACCGAAAAAACCAAGAATATAAAAAGTTTAGTGTATTTGGCTGCTATAAATTTCCACAGGGATAAGCCACTTTGTTGAGTTATCATTTGAGCCCAGGTTGCTTCTGAAAAAGAGCTATATAGCTCACTGGGCCTTAGCTGGTCAGATAAAAAAGTAGTAGTCGTAATTTCTATTGGTGTTGTACATCATGGTCATGAACTGAGGCTGGGTCCACTCTACAACAACCATTGTATGCATAACAAAAATAAAGATCTCCAGCATAGCCTTTTAACAGACTGATAGGGCAAGTGCTGCAAGCGAACGCCTATTAAGGCCGGTACGGGACACGAGAGGGTGGGTGGCCAGCACCACGCTCGGTCAAATTGTCTCCCCATTACAGATGATTACAACACCACGCCAGGTATTCATTTAAAGCCGAGTCGACCTACGGAAGACCTAGGACCAGGTCAAATATTCCTCACCAATATTCTTGGGTCTTTCGGTAAAGTCACGAAACACAAGCTGTTGAAACATCGTAGTTTTGTTGTTTTTTGTTGTTTTTTGTTATTTTCTTTGAACCTATCTACGTGACTTTACCGAAAGACCCAAGAATATAAATCCTTGCAGTCACGAAAGCTTTAAGTCATTCCTCACCAATGTTTGCTGTGAGCGGGAATAAAACTTGTGTCGCCTCTTTAATACCGCTCCCCACACTCATACATAGACAAAGATCCCCCATGTGGCATTTATCAGACTGTTTGGGCAAGTGATGTTAGCGAGCACCTATGAAGATGGGCATGGCACATGAGTTGGGTGGCCAAGAACATACCCAGCCACCTTTTTCTCTCCAGGGCTCATGTTTACACACTGCATCAGATACTCCTTTTTAAGGTCGAGTCGACCTAGGGGAGGCCCAGGACCGGTTCAGATATTCTTCACTGATGTTGGCTGTGAGCGGGAATATAACTGCTGCATAGTCTTAAGAATGTTAAAATGCTTTGAATAAACCCCGATTGAGGCTTTGTCACCTTGTCTTTCCACTGCTGTTCATGATGAGTCAACCTAAAGCAGGCACATGTTATGTTTCAACACTAGAAGATACCAGTCACTGCAGTCACAGTGGAAAACCAAGATGCCACTAGGACCAAAAAAAGATCCCCCGCTTATCATTATGGACAGATTTGACAAGTGCTGTTAGTGTGCTGTAGTGTGCTCTGGTGAGACTTTTGCCCGATCATCTTTGTCTCCACAGTGCTGATGTGTACACACTGCATCAGTTACTCATTTTTGGTTAACTCAACCTAGTGGAGGCTCAGGACAGGGTCAGGTACCACTTGCCACTGGTCACTGGTGTGCATGACCAGAGATCAAATCTAGGTCATCAAAATCATCAGTGTGGGAACCACTCCGCCAATGCTCCCCAGCACCATGTGCGCACAACAAAGGCAGAGAGACCCCTCATATAACCGTAACAGACTTTTGGGGAAAGTGAGAGCACCTATTATTAAGTCCTGTACGGCACATGAGGTGAGGGATCACCACCAAGTCTGACCGCCTTTGTCTCCCTAGCGGACAGCTTAGCTCGGCGCTGAGTCATCACTCGTGTGCGCCACCTCCCACAAGCTTTGCTTCTCATCATCTTTCAGAGAAGGGGGGGCGGGGGGGGGGGGCGATGAGGGCAATCGGCACCCCCACCCACCCTCGCCACCAAGAGACCCTGAAAATTCGTCTTTTATTGATATTTACTGGAATAAAATAGTCCAACGTTTTTCCTTATGTAGGGCCCAATTTTCAAGATCTGCCTCTGGAAAACCAGTCCAATGAATAGGCTTCGTAACCAGCATCTTTCAAAGACAAAAAAAATAGGATGAGGACAGTCCACCAAGGAAGCTCATCTGCGGTTTAAAGGTACAAATGTGTTTCAGCGTGAATGTACGGGCCACTGTGCTACCCAACAGCCCATGCGCCTGAGCGTGTAAAACAATGAGCATAAAAAAGTCTGAAAAAAGGTTTGTTGTCAAAATTAAGTCAAAGTGACTCCCTGCTCATACGAGCAGAGAAGTGGGGGTGGGGGGTTCATCGGCACCAGCTGCCATGAGCCAGTGGTGTAAAGTCTACATTCTAATGGCGGAGGCCGGTCTCTCCAAATGAACACCGAGCGGTCCTGAAGAAGGCAATGTCAGTTATGAGCTGGCAAAAATTTACACCAGGAAGAATTAAAATACAATGGAAACATCTTCTTTGGTTCTTTCGGTAAAGTCACGTAGAATGAGAATAAAATAATAAATTGATAAAATAAAATAACACAATAATATTCTCACGACGTTTCGGCCACAACACAAGCGGCCTTCATCAGGTGAAGGGACGAGACTGTCTGGAGGACAGTAAAGTCTTCCAAAGTTACCTGACAGTAGTCGTACTATCTCCTTTTTCGGATTAGTCAATTGCGACTACGAATTTTTATTTAAATAAAAAAACTATCCATTGCAGATAGAGGATTAATAAGTGTATTATTGATTAAAAACCAAGCTAACATAGTTGGGTTCACATCTTTTTAGATGTGCCGATAATGTTTAGAGCTTTTCACCTGTTTTGAATATCCTGGGGGCTTGCGCCAACCGTTGGATATACAAGGAAGATTAACGGCTGGCGAGCGCCGATCACGGCAGCTCAAAGCGCAACGCAGTCACTTTCATAAACCTGGCAAAAACACGCAACAGCTGACCCCCTCCCTCCCCTCGAGAGAGAGAGAGAGGCGATACAATTTTAAAACGTGCCACTGACCTGGAGCTCCTGCTTTCACTTGGAGCCATCAACTACTCATTTATTTAGCAACGCGCTCTCGCCGGCAAAGACGTCGTGCTGCCGAGCGGTGGCCACTCTGAGAGAGGGCGTGCTGCCCTAAATTTTTCAACCGATGCTTTTTTAATGAATTACGATGGGGGTGCGGTATTGCATGTGGTCTCCACAAACGCAGCGGCATGCGGTGTCTTCAGGCGTGTCAGGGGAATGAAGAAAAACTAAAATCGTGACTGTGTTGGCACTAGTGCACAAACACAAATAACAACTCACTGCTCTAAAAGGAAACAAAAATGTGACCGGTGACGTTTCAGGCAACAGACCTTGTTTATCGCAGAGGCAAGCAGACATGATGTTACTAATATGAAGGGACATTACCAAAAACGTTGCCTATTGCATAGTTTTTTTTACTGCCTGTTCTCCTATAACGCAGTAGTTCTGTTCCTGAAGAACATAGTGTTATGGAAAAATCGCGTTATCATAAATATATAATCTAGGGAAAAGCACAATCCGTGATTCTATTCTATTTCGGATTTATATAGTGACTTTTCCAGGGCGCTTTACAATGCAATTGTTAACATCTTGAATGATCCAGCAGCATCCCAGTGCCTTGTATGATGCTAGGCCGAGGCAGCCGGACAACCGCTTATTCCTACCCGCGCGACATAGTTCCGTTCACTCAACCACGTTATATTAAATTCGCATCCCCGCTTGAAAAAACTTTGTTCCCCAATACATTAATCGCATTATATCCAATTCGCGTTATGAAAACATGAGGCGTTATAGGGCAACAGACTCTTTTGACGAATGAAGGGGAAATGAAAATCTGCCGCATCAATGCAAACGGTGCAGCACTCTCAGTGCAAGTCGGCACGTCACGAATATAAAATAACATTTATTTTAAAAAAAATATACACAACAATCTACCAATCAAACAATGTTTTCAGTCCTGTAATACAATTGTTTGCAGTCCTGCTCAGCTCTGGTTGGTCATTGCCCAGACCTTTATGTTAAATGTATTTTCTGACTTTCTCTGAAAGGAAATAATCAATCTGTCAAATATTTCAACAATAATTTTTTCTCTGTTGGTGGTTCTAAGCTAATCTGGCAATTCCACATTATTATGGCAGTCATAATCTATACACAGAGCAATTCCTATTTATTTTCCAGTAATATAATCAAACTGATTCAACAACCACCCAAATTTTGAAATCAGCTTCTTATAGAACCAAGCTTCTCATTATTCAATTGGGACTATACATATCAATCATCGCCACAGACTTATACTGCAGATCACTCATCCTGGCCTCTTGAGCCCTGACCTGATTAAATAAAATAAACTTGAACTTGATTCCAGGCACCTCGTCTCAGTGCCACCCAGAGCGAGGTAGGGATTAAACGTGGTATGCATAAGAGTTGATCATTATGAACGCAGCAGACGATTACTGCTAATCTGTGCACGGCGAATGTGTGTTCAAGGAGCACAAATAACTTACTGGTGCTGTCGGATTTGCTGTATTGAAAACCTCTTGACAGGGTCGTACTCCAGCAACCCTGAAAGACAGGCACAGCAAGAGCAGTCAACGTGCAGCACACCGGGAGTACGAACGTCGTCAGTTTTGGGTTATTTCCGATTGCGAAGGTCAAACTACTCCACAAACTACTCCAGTAGCATGTGACCAAACAATCCCAACAAGCGGGACTGTCCTGAACACGAGCTGTGAAGACTCAGTGCGGTAAACCAATTTGTCATTGTAACAAGACGTCACAATCCCCCTCCAACCCCCCATCCCCTCCCCTTCCCCACCCTCTCCTCCTTCCATTTTATATCAGTTATCTTCTCCATTATTTACACCCTTGCCCACCCCATATAAACTTTCACTTCCATGCTCGAGGCTCCCCACTTGGGTGGGGCAGTGAGCCCCAATCCGACCTCTCTTCACCAAACCCTGCCGCGTCCGATTTCGGCCCTTTTGCTGGCGGGATTAATGCCTCCCCTCCTCCACCCCTTCTTGTTCTTTGATTGGTGCTTTGTAACGGGTGGGCACACGTTAAGTTGAAATAACAAAAATAAAAAAAACATGAGGTCACAAGATAATCGCGAAGAATCCCAACTGATGCCATCACCCCAATCCATCGCTCCCTTTTGTCCATCTGCAAGACCCTGCGGCTGTATATGCCCAACATTCAAGTGGAAACTGCGGTATATACTACCATTTTTTACAAATTCAAATTGGAATATTTGTCCAATACGAGCGTGTGCTTGTTTTTAGCGACGCGAGGAAACCGTAGAACCCAGAGGAAACCCCATGCAGAACAGGGGAGAACATACAAACATCACAAAGGTGCCCGAGTCAGGAATCGAATCCAAGCGCCTATTGCCATGAAGCTCAAGTGTTACCACTGTGCCGTCCTGTCACCCAAATGATAATTATATCAAAATTACATGAATAACAGCTGAGTGCTAAGATTGTATTCCTCTCAAGAGCGTCCCATAAACTACCTCCTCATTTGCCCCAAGAACGTTCAGCATTTCTTGCCACAACCTTTAAACTCCAGACGCACCCACAGTAAATGGATCAACGTAGGTCTGTAAAAATAGTCTTCATGTCAATGGGAAAAAATAATAATCCGATTGAGATTTATTTTTCCATGAACGTTACATTTATTTTATGCTGTCGCCAGTGACCCAACTGAGATCATCAATTTGCTGCACTTGGGAGCCTGCTTTAGTCGCTCGTCGGCCTTTGTCGCATGCCGCTCTGGGCCTGTGCGCCGGCCTGAGCCTGCGGACCGGCCTGAGGTTGCGTGCCAGCCTGGTCGCGCAACGGCCTGGTCATGCATTGGCCTGAGCCTATGGCTCGGCTCTGGCCATGTGCCGGCCTGGTCGCACACTGCTTTGGATTCCAGGAACTCAGCAATGATGGCTCAGTGCCAAAGCCAATGCAATTACGAACTCCCTAAGCCACCCCAGGCAAACGATTCTCTCCTTCTGCTGTCTCTTGACTGCCCGTTCCAGGGCTTTCATTTATTTTTATTTTTTCTTAAATCTCCGTGACTTTACCGAAAGAACCATGAATACGTTGTCCAAAATGTCGCAAATCATATGTATATATATTTTTAAGGCTATAGTATTATTTACGAGAGTGTTGGATTGTTGTGTTAATTGTACTTACAGTGAGGGAAAAAAGTATTTGATCCCCTGCTGATTTTGTACGTTTGCCCACTGACAAAGAAATTATCTGTTTATAATTTTAATGGTAGGTTTATTTGAACAGTGAGAGACAGAATAACAACAAAAAAATCCAGAAAAACGCATGTCAAAATATTATAAATTGATTTGGATTTTGTCCCACTCCTCTTTGCAGATCTTCTCCAAGTCATTAAGGTTTCGAGGCTGACTTTTGGCAACTCGAACCTTCAGCTCCCTCCACAGATTTGCGATGGGATTAAGGTCTGGAGACTGGCTAGGCCACTCCAGGACCTTAATGTGCTTCTTCTTGAGCCACTCCTTTGTTGCCTTGGCCGTGTGTGTTTGGGTCATTCTCATGCTGAAATACCCATCCACGACCCATCTTCAATGCCCTGGCTGAGGGAAGGAGGTTCTCACCCAAGATTTGACGGTACATGGCCCCATCCATCGTCCCTTTGATGCGGTGAAGTTGTCCTGTCCCCTTAGCAGAAAAACACCCCCAAAGCATAATATTTCCACCTCCATGTTTGATGGTGGGGATGGTGTTCTTGGGGTCATAGGCAGCATTCCTCCTCCTCCTCCAAACACGGTGAGTTGAGTTGATGCCAAAGAGCTCCATTTTGGTCTCATCTGACAACAACACTTTCACGCAGTTGTCCTCTGAATCATTCAGATGTTCATTGGCAAACTTCAGACGGGCATGTATATGTGCTTTCTTGAGCAGGGGGACCTTGCAGGCGCTGCACGATTTCAGTCCTTCACGGCGTAGTGTGTTACCAATTGTTTTCTTGGTGACTTTGGTCCCAGCTGCCTTGAGATCATTGACAAGATCCTCCCGTGTAGTTCTGGGCTGATTCCTCACCATTCTCATGATCATTGCAACTCCACGAGGTGAGATCTTGCATGGAGCCCCAGGCCGAGGTAGATTGACAGTTCTTTTGTGTTTCTTCCATTTGCGAATAATCGCACCAACTGTTGTCACCTTCTCACCAAACTGCTTGGCAATGGTCTTGTAGCCCATTCCAGCCTTGTGTAGGTCTACAATATTGTCCCTGACATCCTTGGAGAGCTCTTTGGTCTTGGCCATGGTGGAGAGTTTGGAATCTGATTGATTGATTGCTTCTGTGGACAAGTGTCTTATACAGGTAACAAGCTGAGATTAGGAGCACTCCTTTTAAGAGTGTGCTCCTAATCTCAGCTCGTTACCTGTATAAAAGACACCTGGGAGCCAGAAATCTTTCTGATTGAGGGGGTCAAATACTTATTTTCCTCATTAAAATGCAAATAAATTTATAACATTTTTGACATGCGTTTTTCTGGATTTTTTTGTTGTTATTCTGTCTCTCACTGTTCAAATAAACCTACCATTAAAATTATAGACTGGTCATTTCTTTGTCAGTGGGCAAACATACAAAATCAGCAGGGGATCAAATACTTTTTCCCCTCACTGTATGCACCACTGCCAGTGCAGCAGCAGCATCACAAAATAATGAGTTGTATTTCAAATGTTGGTGGTTCTGGGCAGTCGTCCATAAGCTTTCCATTTTTCCACTAAGATTATCGCCCCGGGTCTTGTGGTTGTGCACGCCATCGGGGGTGCCGAGACATTAAACGCAAAACTAAACAAATAAATCCGACACTTTACCTCCCTGCAGGAGAAAACCTACACAGGGTGCATGGGGTGCCGATGCCGAGAATAACCAAAATTAGGAAACAAACCCCGGAGCTGTTCAAGGTTCATTTGAAAGCACTTTCATTCAAAGAACCCCTGCTGCAATGCCGCAGCAGTGACGTGTGAGGGTTTTTTTTTGTGTGTGAAGAGGAGTTTTGTCCGATAAAGCGATGACGGTAATGGGCATGCTGAAGCACACGCGGCACACACGGGGGAGGGGGCAAAAAAAGGCAGCGTCGTCTCGTGCGCAACCGCCAGGATCCACAGCCGCTAGTGTTCGCTGTCTGCTGAGCGCTCGCCGCGTTCTGCCAGCAACCCCGCAGCGCTTGCATCAACACAGGAGTTTATTTCTTAATTGCGGCATCATTATTATTTGTCACCAACGACAGGTACTTTCACCCTATTCCATTTGCACCGCAATTCGAGGGGGAATTAAATTTTAATTTTGAATGCTGTGTCGGCGCAGAACAGCCTTGCAAGGCAGCCAATAAAAACGGAAAAACTATGAAGCCAGGAAAAGGAATCCTTTATGGTTGCCTTGACATTAATTATGTTATTGGTAACTGGGGCACCACAGTGGCAATATGTTGACTACCTCGCCTGGTATACAGGAGGTCGTGGGTTCAATCCCGACCCTGATGCCTGTATATTTGGAGTTTGCGTGTCCTTCCCGTGGTCGTGTGGATTTTTATGCAGGGCGTCCGGTTTTTCCCTCCACATTTATAAACAGACATTTAGTGCATTTGGTTTCTGAAAACGAGCTATATAACTCAGTTGGCCTTACCTGGTAAAATAAAAATAGTTTAGTTTGGCAATGAATTTTGGCATTATAGTTGTATTGTTTTTTTTATATGCTGGACTTACAATAAAAGTACAGAATATTTTAAAGTTCTGCTATTGCTGAACATAAGCCTGCATATATAAATCATCTCAACCATCCCATAAATCACGTGACTCCTGTGTGGTCACCCTCACTCTTGAATTCCTGCCCCCTCTTCCCGCCGCCCCCTGTGGAAACAGACGCCACTCCACGCAGCTCACTTCTCACTCCTTCGATCTCTCTTGCTCTCTTCTCTCCTCTTTCATCATCACTCGTTCATCCCCAACATCAACATATCATTGACCCAACTGCTCTTCCCGTGGTGTGCCAAGGCTAAAAAGTTGTATTTTAATAAGTTTAGTTTAACAACGTAGAATGCTTATAAATAAGGTTTCGTATTTTGGTAAAACTTGTTTCTCTGCGTCCATGCCACCGGCTACTGGTCACTTACTAAATCTTAACATTAACAATTCCCATGAGGGCCGAGGAATGTGATGCAGATCGTTTTAGTGCCCACCCCTCCCACCTTACTTCCAGCACCCACTTCCCATGAGCCTCACTACTTATTAGCAAAGCCGATTTTTAGGGTAGAGGAAAAAAAGTTGTTACTCCCTCGCTCCATGAACACAAAAGGAACCTCATGCAGCAGAGGAGGGGAAGAGTGAGATCAGACACCGATAAGGATCAGCGCAGATCCTAAAAACACAAGTGAAATTAACAATGAAAACACTGGAAAAGGCATGAAACGAACATGCCATATTCTCAACTTGATGCACCCTGCTACAACCCTGCTCATGATTAGAGGAATAGCGTGACGAGCAGATCGATGGAAAGGTACTGCATATTCTCAGAATAACCATTGTAATTTATGACTAAATTAACCCCCCTGCGGTCCTCGCACCTGATAGGCTCACAGTGATGACATCACCTTACCTGATTTAAGACCGTAAAAACAGGAAGACTTCTTCACAATTCTGGCCAAGTGCCTAATGAAACTGGTTGTAATCACCAGCAAAATGTCGTACAGTAGAACCCTTCTCCACTATGGTAATAGGTTCCACGAAATTGGTCGTTACGTGATTTGGTCATTCAGGGAGTATAGGAAATAAATGTCAAAGGCTTCATTTGTTCCGATAGCATCCCAAGTTACCTTTTTTCACCCAAAAAACTTACTTTATAATATTTAAACAAGGAATATCAATACATAAAGATACTAACAACATTATAAACACATATTAAAAAGAAACGTGGTTAATCAATGCGTTAATATTTACTGTACCGAGAACAACAGCCCATCTTTAACAGGGGAATGGTCGCTAATCGAACACATTGGGCTGGATTGCGGCCGTTGTTAATCGATTAGTCGTTAACAGGGGTGGTCGTTAAGAAGAGTTCTATTGTACTCTAATTGTAAATGTTGTAGGTTTACTCTCCAACACATCAGTGTGCTAAAGTAGTAACTAATTGGCACGTTTTGTTTACGTGGCACTTCTTACTTACTGGCTATGTCCGGTGGTGGCGGCACAAAACATTTTTTTCTTCGTCCATGTCGTCCTCCACTGGTCACTTAGTTAATCTGAACATAGAACCAGCCCCAAAATTCTCTCTGCATCATATTGCGTGGCCCTAACGGGATTGCTAATTGTTAAGATTAACTAAGAGACCAATGGGGCGGCAGCATGATGCAGACAAATGAGCATGCAGCCAGCTACACAAGCAGAATTAAATTATTAAATTAACCACGCAAATTATGAAATCGGCGGCAGGAAAACTGCAATGAACCAGCACGGTGGGGAGTGCATTTGCTGCAAGGATCAGCTATCCTACCGCAACTTATAACTTGATCAATCAGATGAACCGTCATTAAGCCGAGCCCTTGCCTCGATGAGCACCTAGCTTGGCTCTGAAACCGAGGTGACGTGACCACTGATTCAGAGCGGCGCTCGTGCAGTTGCTCTCTCGCCAGCTCCACACCCGAGCCATCGGTTGTGCAACCAAGTTGCTCTCAAAATCACACAACGTAAATCATCGTCTGCAACTGCTTTGTCCATATCTGGGCGAGTAGTTAGGCAACAAGAACATGCCTGGCCATGCACTTTAAAGGATAGCCCTGTCCGTCTCCTGATTAGCTCCACCTCCCCACCCACATCAGGATTGTAATGACCAATGTGTTCAAAAACGTGCAGCACGCAATGTGACACGTCGCTGCAAATCGCTGAGCGGATCGCCGCTTTAAATACAAGTCGATCTGGACTGTGAGCAGCAACCGGTTGCTCAACTGCTCCCCGCAACCGGTTGCATGAAAGTTGACACATACGCGATTCAGTTGCACGCAACTGAATTTTCTTAACTCAGCCGTCAGGTGTGCAGTAGTGTCTGGATATGCGCGTTGCTGAGTGTGCACACTCCTGGTGCAAGCAAGGGCGTGCGTGTGTGTTATCGTTATTTACAAGTAGATGGACCGTCTCACCTTTCAGAAGCTCTGTTAATAAAGTGCCGCACTCCTCGGGGACTGTGTACTCGCCCTTGCCGATGTTCTCAAAGAGCTTGTAGATGTTGTCCCCTTCAAAGGGATACACCCCCGTCGTTATGTTATACCTGGAAGAGACCGCCCACCACACGGGACAAGAGTGGACACGGGGGGTCACATTTACACCGCACACAAACGGCATGTGCAATGCCCACAAGGGACACCGGGCTTCCAGACCCAGTGACACGCGCTGCTTTATGCAGACAAAATAGTTGTCATCATAGAGGTGATTGAAAACGGCCAAGATCTAGCAGGAGTGATGGCACAGCAAAGGATGAAGTTCAGTTAAGATGTACTTTAAAAAAAAAGGATGGTCACATTTCAAAGCAATAGGTTAACTTTGACATGAAAATCAAACCCCAACAGGAGTCAAACAGAAACTCGGTGAAACGCAGCAGAGTGCAGACCTTGCCGCTTGCACAATGAACGCACAATGTTCGTGCGTACATGAATGCCTGCTGCAGCCCAGCACATGATTTTAATAGTAACTCTGAAATGCATGAACATTCTTCACATTTTTCACACGCAATTCCACCTGCCCACGCTATGGTGCTACGAAGGCTTTGCAAAGAGATCTCAGCCGTGGGGTGGGGAGGTGAGGGGGAAGGGAGAGGAGGCTGCTTCACAGCAGGAACACCAGGTGCGTCAGTGAAATTCCGCAAATAGCCGGCTACGCATGCACCAGTGAGTCACTGCACACATGTCACACGTACACCACAGCTCGGACATCATCTAGCAACAATAATTCCAGCGCCAAGGTGGGAGGGTGCTGGTCGCAAAACACCGGGAAACGAACTGGCTACATCTGCAGTCAGAATCACATTTCCCATGCAGCGGGATGGAGTTTCACTTGCTTCCCTGCCACTTTCCACATATTCATTGCTCAAGAAGGTAGTGAGCTCTTGTTTAGACTGTATGCCCAATTATGCTGTCACGGATTGCGCATCTCAATGAAGTGGCCTTTCGCTGTGGTAGTCAGATAATGAACATGAGGTACTTCTCTTCCAGTATCTGTGGATGTTAGTGTCATCTTGGAGGTCACCTGTCTCTGGTAATGCTAGAATTACCCAGGGTGCCACTACCCTGTCAAGGGTGTATTTGGGCTGCTCAACGCTCATCTGTTTTGGGAGATTTACATTCGTGATCCCACGACCATAGGCTTACAGCTGCTATCGCCACCAACTTTAATCTCTTACCCATGACAGTGCCCATCTCCTACGATAAGGATCTTCCATGTGGAGGATGCTATAGATTTCATGGGTCATCCACTTGGAAGTTTGGAAGATAACGTGGCACAAAGCATTGTGGACTTGATAAGAGCAGGTTGTGATGGCTGATGCAAATGTGCAGCATGTAAGAGGGCATGTTACCGAGGCTGGCAATGGCATGGCACTCAAAAGGCATTGGGGTGGCACCCAGGGGATAGCGACCAAAGAGAAGCCCTCAAGCCAGGTGGTGCAATATTATAAACACACGTGGCGAAGGTCAGGCACATACTGTGCAGCAGCTGAGGGATCTGGTAGATAGAAGAAAGCAATGGCAAGGTGTGGTGGCACGAACAGCATTGGCTCCGATCCAATGCTGTTAGTGCCACCACACCCTCCGACACGGTTGTCATGTTCACACAATTATTATTTACACATGGCCAATGTGCCGATCAGATTCTGAGCAATAATCCTCCTCACCGGTGGCTTGAGACTTGTCAAGACTGAGTTCAACATCAACGTGGTACGGCGATACTTCTCTCCAACTGCTTTGAGCTAAATCACGTGGTGAACTCGGGAAATTGAGCGCTCTGAAGGCACTGGTTGAGCTTTCTTGGTCAGAACTTGATTAATATATTGGCATGTATACATAATATCGTTGTATAAAAGTGATAATCTAGTCAGGTGTAGGAGGGTTAATGACAAGATATTTGGCATAAAACTACGACGTGACCTCACCCAAAAACAAATATGGATCATTGTATTGCCTTCGGAAACCTACGTTTCAAGCCAGTGGTTATGACATCTTCTTGATTTCACAAAAAGGGTTATATGTACAGGACTACCCTGCCAAGATGTTATATTTTATATAACATGCCCTCTTACATGCTGCACATTTGCATCAGCCATCACAACCTGCTCTTACTTATCAAGTCCACAATGCTTTGTGCCACGTTATCTTGCCAAGATGTTATATTTTAACATCTTGGCATGCCGCCAGTCAGGAGGGCATCTTATCACGATGCAATGAAAGTAAATTTGGAATGAATGCAACGGACTTCTCTATAAACTGCCACACATCACGCTCTCTAAAATGCGGTTCCTAACAGGTCAACCATATGATAGAAAATCATTTAGAAAAGCTATCCCTTCAGCCATAATTAGGACATTAGATCGAGATGCAATACACACAGTTATGATATCAGTTGGACTTAAACGGCCACTATGACAATTTTCATTATCAAATAAATTTAAGGGATGGAGTTAATACAAAATAAAACGACTAATTTACCCAAATCTCGTCTTGCTGCAAGACAAGCCAAGTGAAAATGTTCATCATTTGAAGTAAAAATTTACTAAAAACTACAACCAATCTGGATGACTTCAGTGAAAGGCAGAATCCCACCCATCTCCATCAGTGGCCAGTAGTGTAAATTCCACATTCTCATGACAGGGCCCAGTCTATTCATGTAAAGACTTCTGCTGACTCCTAGCGGTGTAGACTGAGTTGACCCATGACTAGAATTTGAACTCGCATCCTTCCAAATGCGAGTCAACACAAGACCACCTGGCTCCACTAATTGAGTCGACATGGCTACAATTTAACTACAAGGCAAAAACAAAGCGAAGACCAAATCATTAAGGCAATGGACCAAACAGAAAATTGACGCCATTCGGTGCACTATTCCCTTTAAAGGTCTGATTTTACCGTGACGGGAAAGTGTGGCTTGAGAGTAACCAATACAAGCCTGAGATTCACAAGTGGCAGAGAGTGGCTGAAAGGATAAAACTAAACTCTCAAATATTTTTTTGATTTTACCAGGTAAGGCCCACTGAGCTATGTAGCTCCTTTTCAGAAGTGAGCTGGCCACGAATGATAACTCAACGAAGTGGCTTATCACGTGGTTCTAACTACGTCAGCAATGCGAAGACCCTCGTTGCAAATCTGGGCAGTTGTTCAAAGAAATGTAAGTCTCGGGCCAGATTAGCACGGTTGGCTACGTACGGTGCTAAAGAAGTTGAACGTACATAAATACATGCATACATACATGTGTAGTGACATATGACGTCACTACCGTGTTGGGTCTGTACACACATGACGTCACTGCTATGTCGGGTCGGTACGAATGACGTTACTGCCGGGTCGCGCAGTGTGGAGGCTGTTGACGAGTGCCACGGGGGTCGTGTCAGGCCGTGGCACTCTGAGTGAACCCGACCGGACACGTGACCGGATCAAGGTGGGGGCCAGGGGCCCCAGGGGGACCTTGGGTTCACGTGGTCGGGGAGCAGAGCCTTCCCGAGGGTTCGAGAAGGTGGGCGTGGCCTGGGTGTGGCCGGCCACGCCGAGGCGCATATAAGCGGGCTCCGCACGCAGAGCAGGACTGTTCGTGTCCAGGATGAAGACGCCTCATGAAGACTGAAGACAGAAGCCTCAAGTAGTCGTGGCCAAGCAGAAGCCCTCCTGGCTTGGCCACGTTGAGTAGTACCCGAGTGTTCGAATGTTAGAGAGATTAGGACGGTGGTCACCACCTTATATATAGTGTCTGTGTTACAGTTGTATTGCAGTTGTGTTAAATAAATAGTATTGCCTCCATACGAGTGTGTGCGCCTCTGTCGAACCATTACACATGCATACATACATAAGACAGCACAAACCAGGCCCCCCCCCTCCCCCTAAACTAAAAATCACCGTATCCATGACGTTTCGTGTGAATTTGACTCTAACCACCTGCTTACGATAAGTTACAGTTACAGGTTGTAGTCAGACAGACCCCTTTGACATTCATCATGCCAACAACATGCCCTTCGAGGATATGGAAAATTGCTGTTGATATATGTAATGGCGATGATAGCCTGTGTGGTTCTCGTGGACTCTAGAAAAAAATATCACACAAGGGGTGTTTCACGAGTCAATGTTATCGGCTGTTAAAGACCCGGCTGCGTGGAGTCCGGTTATTCTAGGGTGGCTCAGTCAGCCTGGCAGCGGGACCCAGAGCGGGTGGGGACAGGGTATAGCAGCAGCACCAGCAGGGACAGAGCGCGAGCCTGATGCTGCATTCCGCGCCAAACGTGAGCAGTATCTGCTACGTCCAAACTGCAGCTGCCTAGGCCTCCTCCTGTGAAAGCTTTAAGTACTTTCTGGCAGAGCCGCCCCATCTCATTACTGGTGGATCCTTCCCATTACAGACTGTTCCAATCTGTACAGCTGATAAATATGTACACAAAAGATCCCCCATGTAGCCACATAGACAATGGGAGACAGTACTGATAGTGAGCACGTATGAAGGCCAGCGCAGTGGACAAGGGGGAGGTGTGGTCAGCACCACGTCCGACTGCCTTCGTCTCCCCAGTGCTATTATTTACAAATTTCACCAGGTACTAATTTAAGGCTGAGTCGACATAAGAGGCCCAGGAACATTTCAGATATTCACCGCTGATGTTGTCTGTGAGCGTGATTCGAACTTAGGGAACTGGCCTTGTATCATCACACTACCACTCCCCACATGCACACACTAAGTGGCGGAGATATCATCATGGCGCTTGTGCCATGCTAGGTGCACTTTGAGGCCGCTTTTAAGTGTCAAAGGCCTGCTGGAAGGTCACAGAATAGACCCAGGTGCCATGGGTTGGCTGAGATGACTGGTAGATGCACCAACTGTGCTCCCCGCTGTGCAAACTCTTTACACTTTAGCTGCCCGGCGCTCCATTTGCCATGTGCATCGCTCCTCTGCCCTCCGCTGTCGTTGGAGGGCGACTGCCTCCAACTCCCCCGCAGCATTCTTCAAGAACCTCCTCCACAGAGGCGGATCTTGACACCACTGGTACCAGGCATCGGCAAGTCCAATCAACTCCACATTAGTCCATCTCTTCTCTCGCCCGTGCGGCACATGTTTATCCCCCTCTATCCAGCCAAACAAAAACTGCATGGGCATGCGGTGGCTGGGCATGCGGGCTCCATGGCCCAACCAATGCAGCCTCACTTACCGAATAATGGAGTAGCTCACTAATGGGACTACATCTATCTCTTTCCAGGATCTGTTAACTCCTCACACAATACAGTCTGGTTAAACCCAGGATGGATCATAGGCAGGCAAGCCTAAATGTTTCAAACCAGCGCAGATGTTCCTGTAGAGGGCTCCACGTTTCGCAAGCATAGAGAAGGGAGGGCATAACTTTGGCCGACAAGACTTAAACCTTTTGTGTGGAGCAACAGACCAGGTAGCTTTCACACAGCGTTCCGCAGCTGATGAAAAGATAATGCCGCTCGACTGAGTCAGAGCGAGACCTCGGCTGCCAAACCAGAGCTGGTCAATAAGCACACTGGCCAAGGAAGGAAACTTCTCCACTCTCTCCACAACTGCCCCATCATGAACACAAACTCACGCACTCATACAGCCGCACAAGATACAACAAGATACACACTCATACAAGCAAACATAAGAAGACACAAACAGCATAACATGCATATATTACACGCAACACATACACACATCCACACGCACTCGGATTCATGCAAATGCACACGTGTTTGAGTATTATAATAATCATGATTTATAATTATAAGCAGTTGCAGCGACATCAGCAACACTTTTACTGTAATCTTCTCCTTTGTTTTCATCATCACCACCATCACTATCATCCCAGTAAACATTACCACATTTTGGCAAATCAAGTGTTCATGTTAAGAAGAGACGAGCCCCCACCATGAGAATGTGACCTATCCAACAATGGCTCAGGGACACCGATGGAGATGAGTGACAGGGGCTCAACCTATCCTGAACGACATTGTTCACTGCTTTGTATGCCTGCCTCACCAACACCACAACAAAGACATCGATCCCCTGAATAGCCTGAACAGATTGTTGGGACAAGCACTGTTAGGCCGGCACAGTACACGAGGGGGTGGTTGGTCAACACCACGCCCGACTGCCTTTGTCTCCCTTAGTGGCGATGTTTATACACCACACCAGGTACTCATTTAAGGTTAAGTTGACCTAGGGGAGGCCCAGGACTGGTTTAGACAATTGTCACTGGTGTTGGCCATTAGCAGGAATCGAACACGTGTCGCCAGGTTAGTAGTGCAGCGGCTAACTGCTATACTACCGCTCCCCACACAAACACACGTGTGTGTCTTTATCTTTGTTGCAGACAAATCAAAGTCTAATTTGTGGGCTCTGTCCATGGGCAGGCAACGTGTCATAATGTCATGATGCCATGGCAGATTCCCCTCGCCCGAGGCCTAAAACTAAGAACGGGATTCTGTGGCATTAATTCCGCAGAATTCCGAACGATAGGTCAGTCTCTGGTGGGGTCTCGAGCTTCGAGAATACACCAATAGACCAGCTGGTGATGGGATCTTTAAGGCAATAGACTACCAGGTCGGTAAGAGACTGCAAGAGCAAATGCACATCTCGTGTTGAATGATGACAGCTGCCATGGACAGGACCAACTCACAGGGTGACGCCCGACGACCAGATGTCCACCTTGAAGCCGGAGAACGTCTCCAGGCCATTGGCAATTTCTGGGGGCTGGAAGGCGGGTGAGCCCTGGCTCGTCCTGCACGTGTCGTCCAGCGCAAACACGTCCAGTGCCTGTGTGCATACATACATAAAACGCATATTCATCCATTTATTAGTTGACCGACTCACCCATTCACTTAGCCACCAACTAATTTGCTTAATCACCCGCTCACCCACCCAGCAACCCCACCGTCAACCCACCCTGTCTGCTCACCCACTCACCCACCTACCCACCGACACGACTGCCCGCTCGCCAACTCTTATCGCTCACTCACTCGCCAAACAACCCAATTGCCCGGCCGCCTGTCCACAAGCGCACCTGCCCACCCTCGACTCGCTCAAGAGCAGACCCATGCATACACTCACTCACTTGCGCAATTAAACCATATTTCCTAGGTTAGCCAGTTGATGGTCTAAACCTAGCAATCAATGCAAGAAATACCTAATATCATTCATTAATTACCAAAATCCAGTTCACAATCATCGTGTTTCCAAACTCAAACGATCCTTAGAGTAGCATTTATTTACGTTGGTATTCCTGAGCCTGCCATGTAAATTTCACATTTCCATCACTGAGAACAGTCTTTCCGTAGAACAAGCAGTAGTAACTTCCCAGAAAGCGGTCAGTTTATTGACATGAGGGTATATCTGGCTATATCTGCTGAGTGGCAGATATACCCAGACATGAAAAAGCTCAAATCCTGCTGGATGGTCAGCTTGGCACGTCATCCTTCCAGGATCAACAACAGAGTATTGTGGGATGTCACCTGTTGTCTTCCAATGAATAAACTGATCCCCATTATGGGTTTTTACAGGAAGTCAGAATAAGATACAGAAGGATATTGTCCTGTTTGACATAGTTTCAATTGCAATGTCGCATCTCATTTTACATTTTATTGTGAGCATTGTTAAACTCAGTTGCTTAGTTAATTTTAACAATTAGCAATTCCCGTGAGGGCCGCACAACGTAATGCAGAGTTATTTCTCTCACCGGCTACCCATGAACCTCAATGTTTTAGCCACAGCTAAAATAAAAATGTTTACGGACTTAAAGAGTCTTCAGACAAGCAACAAACTGTATGTAACATACCTTTCTTGCCGTATCTATAATTGGCGCATTAAACGCTTGCGCACACACGACAATTTTATAGGCTTGGCAGTGTCGGGTGACAGACGGTCTTAATGACACAAATTTGGCAAGTCCATTACGTGGCCTAAGCAAAAAAAAAATCAATATTACGAATCGGTGATTTAAAAGTGGGCGCAGTGGTGATCTTGCCATTTACTGCGCCACTACGCCAGACTGCACCTCACACTGTGCCGAGTGCGATCATGCGAGAGGTCACGGGTGCGCACATGCGCACCTCTGCAACACCCAGGTCGGAGATCTTGAGGGTCCCCTCCGTGGTGAGCAGCAGGTTCCCAGGCTTGATGTCTTTGTGGACAATGCCCTGGCTGTGGAGATACTCCAGGCCATCCACCAGCTGACTAAAATACCTGCCACCACAACACAGAGACAAGGTGAAGATCCCCTTGTTCTAGCTGTAGAGGGTTGTAGGTACTGTTGGCAAGCAACTAGTAGGCTCGCATCGCAGAATGACCCACGACGATAACACGTAGGCACCTCAATAGACGTCCCACATCTCTAACCAAAACCGCAATGCGGTTTCATTTATGCTGTGTACAGAGTGGTTTTAATGTCTATCACCTGATATAATCATGTGGACAAGATTCCTCTCTTAGCCAATACCAGGGGTTGGCAACCTGCGGCTCCGGAGCCGCATGTGGCTCTTTATGGACTGATTCATGACGTAATGTATATATGTACCGAATTCGAAAAAAAGGCTCATTGTTATTTTGGTTGCCGACCCCTGGCTTATAAAAACTGCAAGATTTATATTCCATATGTGAGCACGAATTATGACTGGAACACACGAAGGGGTGGTGTGGGCAGTGCCACACATATACACCCAGGAATGATGAGAGCCACAGAGATGTAGCTGGTAACCATATCAGGATGAGTGGATCTTAGGATCTGAATGAAATAGAACCCATGTTGTCAGGATGGCAGCCAAGTACAACAGCTATGCCACTAACAAGTACATTCTGCCAAACACATGATCCACGTGCATGGCACCACAAATAAGGCTCCAGAAGTTTTATAAATATATGAATATCCCAAGCTAACCTGTGGTCCAAAGACATGAAAATATCATCAGAAGACAGATTAAACTAAATTCATCACAGCAGGCTAATTTGTGCACCCTATTTGTTATGCATATGTAAATTATAATTCGAATATTTATTTTGCCTTGAGGAATCTGATGAGCTATCAAGTTATTTTCACAGACTTCCAGTCGGGGTGGGTAATACATGTTACAACAGCATAAAAACATTATAGTAGTGCAAAGTTCAAGAAATGTAAACAAATCACCCAAACACATACAAATAAAACTAAACCATCCCCATCCTACCAGCAAAAGTTCACTGAGGTATTAACTTACTTAATAATTTGCTTCTCAAACGATGCGGTCACTTGAGAAAACATTACCAAAGGTGGCTGGATGGCTGAGGTGGCTGCTGTCCAGATTTAAGGATGCGTTGTGGGTCGTTTAAATTAATAAACACCCATGAATTGGTTTAAAACATTAATATACACAGAGGACTGCAGATCTTGGGGAAGTGTTGGCACCGGACCACAATCTGGCTGCCTCCTAGATGGTCCGTGGTCCCTCAGCGATTGAGATATGCAATTTCCACGTACGACGCTTGGTAAAACTCAACATAAAAAAACTTAACATTCAATCACTGCATATGCAGTGATTGAATGTGGAATCACTAATGGTTTGGTCTCATGCAAAAGACAGCTGTGCTACCGCCATTATTAAACCTTTGAACCACTCAACCCACCACTGTGTAAGCCACCCCTCCCCCCCCCCCCCCCCCCCCCCCCCCCAGTGTGAATGGGCGGCAAGGAGAGGGCTTACAATCCAACTTCTTAAAATCCATGGGCTTACCCGTGAGCCTGAAAGATGGGAAACTTCTTTCCGGTAACGCTGTCCAGCATTTCTTGCATGCCGCACACGCAGTACTCCATGACCATATACGTGCACGAGCCGTCAAGGGAGCAATGCAATCCGGAATCCAGTCGCCGCGCCTTTACAGGTTAGAGTCGAGCATCGGAGCGGCGCCCCAGGGGCCACCAATGAATAGGAACAAAGACGGTAGGACACTGCAAGATCAAGACTTAGTAGGGTAGCTGCAGGATCTACCATGAAAAATAAATGCTCTCTAAGCATATTTATAATCGTTCAACTCTTTGAACGTATTCTTGGTTCTTTCGGTAAAGTCACGTAGAAGGGATGTGTAGTAAATGCATACACGTTCCGTGGACAAAGGAGTTTGCTAACTCTTTAAGAATAAAGAAGTCCAGTGGTTTGCATAACAAGCATTCAAAAACTAAAGCGATGGCAATGTATGACTGTGTAAGTAGCATTTTGTGATGACTTCATTCACTTCCTGAAGGTAGAACTTTAAGGGGAACCAGCTGTGACCAGGATTGTAGCAGAGGGAAAATTTATAGTGCACACACATCACTGCTCCTGATAGGATAGGAAGGAGCCAGTGGCAAGAGACAGGGAGGATGGGAGGATAGGAGGGAGCAGTGATAGGAGACAGGGTGGACGGGAGGGAGGCAGTATTCTGAAGTGCACAGCTACTTAGGGGCAGGAAACGGAGGTTGGATTAACTTAACATAAAGACCTTTTCCTCAATTCCCTTTGTAGTGACATGAATAGAAAGTCCCCTGTTATCATCCTTTAAACCCTTATTACAATGAACCTCTCAACAGACAGAATACAATCAACAATTATATTACATCTCCTCCTGGAAATAGCCAATTGTGAGCACTTTCAGAATAATAATATATTTTTCAGAGGAGACCTCAAATACATAATTAAAATAGGACACGTTTCAAGATTTAGTTTGGGATCAATTATGGGATCAAATGGCCTATTTTTGAAAAATGTATCAAGATCTTGTCCACTTTACAAGCAGTGCGCTACTTTGGTAATTTCTTGTAGCACTTATTAGTTTGTTGATTGCGACAGAAACCAAACTGTCGCAAACAATTTCAGTGGCCAGAGCACTGAGCGCTGGTGCACTCTTCTCCACCCAAGCCGAATACAGTTCTACACTATTCCTGCTTTTAGAGGAGGCAACCCACGTACACTGGCTCCACTTAAGAGTACATATGCCAGGCTGTCTGACACCGGTTTCAACCTCTGTCAGTGAGAAAGGCAACATTTAAATTCACAGTCACAAGTTCTTTTCATGCCGCCACCGCCATTCGTTTGAGCACGTCACTGCAGCGTCATCGTTGTCGGCAGTTCCTCAGGGTTCGAGGATGATGTCCATAACGTTTGGCGGTGGCTGAGGAGTCCAATCCTGAGTCTGCAAATCTTTGGGCATTGTGGGCACCACGCGGTCCCAGGTGGAACTGGAATCCGCAGTGCCGGATTGGCTGCAGCGACATCGCTATGGCAATATGACGGCATGCCTAACCTTGCCTTTAAATACTTTTTTTTCTCATTTAGCAAAGCCCAGGACACAGGCTATACACGAGTGTGCGTAGGCTGAGAAGACCGCTTCGCTCCTTGTTCTATTACGGCCTACTTTAAACCGTGCCTCTCACACAAAAACAGCCGGCTAGGGACATCTCGAGTCAGGATCGTGAGCAAGTGTTGGCACGCTTCTTGAATAAAATATTGAAATGTTGAATCACTTATTGGTATCATTGAGTCAGTGATGGGAATTCCACATCTCTATATCTGGAACCAGTCAAGTGCTCTGCCAAAGCGGCACATGCATAATATTAAAGCAAAACGTGTATTTACATTTATGTAAAGCCTGTTAAATACTGATATGCACAAAATTATTGAAAGTGCTTTTTTAATGTTTGTACGGAACTTACACGTAAAATCTAATGCAAAAAGAACACATTTCAATGCATGAACAAGTCTAAACAATACTCGGTTTTGGTCCTTACATGATACCTGGTTTTCCCAAATTAACTTCCTGGGTGCCTGGCATGGGGGGGTGGTGATGCTGCTGCGTTGAAAATGGTGCACAAGCACAAATAACAGCAACAAAAACTAGCAGTAATCAATAACACTGCACTAAAAAGAAGTATATGAAAGGCAATGTTTCAGAAAATGGCCCTTCCTCACAGCACGCATTAAACAATATATTAAACAGACGACGAGCGGGGGGAACGATGAAAGGACGTTGCGAGTACAACCTTGCAAGTGGTGTTTATGAAGGGGGAAATAAAAAACACGCAATGCACGGCTAAAAATGGACACCGGGCGCAAGGTGAGGGGAGAGCGCGAAGGGATTGCGGTTGTGAGAAACTGTACGTCAGTCTAAGCCCTTTGCGCATGCTGCGGAGACACCCCAGGCAATACACCAAGAGGCTCCCCCCTTCTTTGGCAGCACACTTTTGCTGAAATTAACATGGCCGTTCGTTCAAAATGGTCAGAAACAATGGGGAGATGAATACGTATTTTATAAATTATACGTGAATAAAATCATCAAATGCATCAATCTTTTTGCAATTAAAAGTCCAGAAATCTCACGATGTGGTAGGGAATGGCTATGAAATCTAAAACCACAGCCCTAGTGAGGAGCATACCTTCATGCTCTGAACCGTCATGTTAGTCATCTCATACGGTGAAGTGAACCAACAAGAAAAAGTGTTCATACTGCGTTGGCAGTGCTACATAAGCACAAATAACTAAAACTCGGCACATTCGTCAATAACATTCCTCTAAAACGAAAACAATATGTAATAGGTGATGATTGGATACTGGCCCTTCTTCGTAGCAGACACCATAGCCTATCTCTGCTATCAAGGGGGTCCGGTGCCATAGACGTCAATTAATATATTTATATAATATTATATACAAAAATGTCCTTTTAGGGCATTGCTATTGACGAGCGTGTTGATATATTGAAGTTTATTGCTGGGCTATTGTGAACTACATGGTTGTCTATTGCCCTTTATCCATCCAATGCTGCACGAGGGCCTCCCCATGCAGTGTGGATCGTGGAAGATATTTGGCCATGCTGTACTTCAGCACGCCGGTCATGTATGTATGTATGTTTGTTGAACTTCTTTCGCACGGTACGTAGCCAACCATGCTAATCGGAGGTGGTCAGTGTGGGTTGCAGAACGTGGGAAGCACAGACATGGGGAACGTAGTAAAGAACGGCAAGACCTCACTCAACGCGTGTTCACATGAAGCATGTTCACTTGCATGCAGTTCCTCTACCAGGGACTACTTTTCGCACAATGCAGAATGCGCACTGTTATAACGCAGTGTGTGAGCAGACGACAACCACAGTACGCGGCGGCATACCCTCATCCCACTTCTTTTGTCTGCCATGGGATGACTGCAGGCTGTTTTTTATAGAGCAACATCGATTCAAATCTGCATGGTTTTTATTTATGCCCTGTCACAAATACATACAAGTAATTCCCCGTTTAATGCATTTCCTTTAATGCGACACTTTTTAGGTACACATCTACCGTGTTAAACGAGGAATGACTGTACAAACGATATTCTTGGTTCTTTCGGTGAAGTCACGTAGAAGGGAAATAGTAAAATAATAAAAATAGAACAATAATATGAATCCCTGCAATCACGAAAGCTTTAAATCGAAACGTACAAACGATGTTTGTGAACTGCTCTCCGATGCCAAGAGCAAGGTAAGACAGAAGCCTACACAACAGCAGTTTATTATGAATGGCGGTGTCTCATCAAACACAATCCGGGCTCAAGCCTACTTAACATTCTGGGTGATTTGGTCATAAGCAATGTGAATTATAAAAAATTAATTTCCGCAGCTTTATTCGGTAACTAATTTAGGTATCTATTCATATGCCAATTTTTGGAAGAAATCGCGTTATAATAAAAAAAAATCTATAATATAGGGTATATTCTGCGATAACACGTGAGAAGAATACACAGGCTGAACAAAAACAGAGGCGCCGAGGTAACATTTCGAAGCATCCAGCAGCATCCTAGTGTGATACGCCGAGGCTGCCATACGACTGCTTATTCCTACTCACGTGACGTAGTTCCGTTCACTCGATCGCGTTATATCCAATCTGCATCTGCGTAAAAAAAAAACTGTGTTCCCTAATTTATTCATCACGCTATACATCCAATTCGCGTCATGAAAACTACGTGTTATAGTGGAACTGACTGTACACACCAACGTAGTAATAATCAGGGCAGCCTGCCGCATTTGAATCAGGAACCTCTGCAACAAGCGGTCAATGTGTTACCTCATGGGCCGCTGGTCCACGTTATCATCTGGGGAATGACACTGGGGCATGAATCGTTAAGCCATGATGCAGTGGCGATAGCGCGTGCCGCTCGGGCCAGCGAGAGAAAGGATATATCTTTTGTTTCTCTTCGTTGTAGAGGACGTCAACGAGCGAGATGACATTTTTATGCTTCAACCTCTTGAGCAGCTGAATCTCCCTAGAAGGAAACAAACAAACGCACAACAGAGTTAATTATATAACGGGAAAAAAAAACCAGGGAATCGTGCCCGATGATTGTGGCTGTGCACCACTGTCAACGCAGCATCATCAAACAATTCGTTGACTTGACCCAACATTTTAAACCTGTTGCCGAATACACAACACCGTCAATAAGTCAAATGTGTGTCCCTGCTCAAATAAATCTGGTGACCCTAAAAAAGAGGCAAACACTCCACATTGCCATGACGGGGGTCAGTCATTACATACAAACAACCAGCTACGACATGCAACAACACGCATTCAACACGCATCCTTAGGGTTGAACATCAAATACCACAGGCTCAGAGGCAGACTAAGACACCTTTGGGACTCTCAGTACTCAATGTTAATGGAATTAGAATCACACAAAGGCCCCTTTAGAATTCTTAGAGTTCAGGGTTCAATTGCTAGTCAAGCACTCCGATGACAGAACCAGCCCTCAGCATAAACGAGGATAAATTATCATGTAATCAAGTGGTGCAATTATTCTTCATTCATCTCAGGCTGTAACGGATTTATGTGAGTTTATTCAAATACAGCCATAGAAAGTAATGAATATTAGCGTAAGGATATTAAGGCTGCAGTGCCTGTTTTGCATATGAATGTCATTAAAGTTGAATAACAGTTCATAGGGACCCCACTTGAATGTATTAATTAATTCTGCAGTTTCACTGCACACAGAAAGAGGAAAAAATAACAGCAGGCAACAATCCAGCACCTACGCCGCTCACTGGAAGGTAGAGCTAATCTGCCCTCTACTGACCGCAGGAAAATAGTGTGTGGTCGAATACCCGTGCAGTGTTATCCATGCAGTGAATATCCATGCAATATCCATGCAGTTTTTCAACGGTCCCCAACCTGGGGCGGGTACGCGTGACGTCTCTAGGGGAAAGAGAGACCAATCACGCAATGCCGGCAGTCACGTGGGTACAGCCACGTGGGTTACGCCGAGCAGCCGCAAAGCTACTCAAAATAAATCGAAGAAAGAAGACGGCAACATTTCCGGCCAAAACTATTTTAACGTGGTGATTGAGCTGTGCAAGGCAGGAGGAGGCGTATGTATATACTTGAGCAAATTAAAAAACGATACACTTATCTGTTGTATTCAATTTGATAAATCCATGCAATTTCAAAGCTCGTTTTAAATTAAACGGTGGAATTACTAAGCGTTCTAAAGTATTATTATTAGGAGACAACCTAACAAAAGTGATATGATTTATTTTGCAATAACTGGTCGTGATATCAACAACTTACTGCACTTGTGAAGCCAGTTTAAACAAGGGTCACTACCCAGATTCGGATTCGGGACCTCAACAATGTCCTCAAAGTTCTCTGATCTCAAAGCCACCTGGGAACTTTTAAGTTCAACAATGTTAATTAATTTGCCTTTTAAAACAACCATCAACAAATTACATGCCACCTGTGGTAATGGGACCAGACGTGGAGGGGGGGGGGGGCAGGGAGAATCTGGTTCAGTGCTTGACGATAAAAAGAGCCACAGTTGTGGTTACCAAACACCATTCTGCATATTGGTGATGCAGAATGTGGCAGTGACATTGTCTGGAGGCTGCACGTCCGTACGCTTGTTTTAAAGGTTCGAGGTACAATCCGGCAGGCGACCCTGGTTATTACTGCAGATGTATCAACCTACTGCAGAGTGGAACGTTAAAGATCCACCCCCTCCCGATGCCTTTCAAAACGAGAGGGCCATCAAGTGCCCGCATCATCGTCAACGTTTGCCACATTACAAAATGAGCAGCAAATTACCTGATTTAAATTACACACAATTCCGTCGGCCCAGACTGGCAGACTAATGCCCGCTTGCAGGTCGGGTGCTGAGGTACCCTGTGCCGCACAGGGAGAGCTGCCACTGGGGGTGCCCTTTAAAAAAAGTTTGAGATGGGCTGTAAGTGGCTCAGCGCGTGTAATGCGCTCGGAGATGCTCCGCAGTTAAGGGCGCAAACTCCAAAACAATATTATTGCATTCCTGCCAGCCGTTGGCTGAAAAACGGAGAGGTTATATTTTTCCAAAAATCAAATCAGGCCTGGATGTGAAATTTCATGATCCAAATTTAGTTTTATTTCGGATTTCATGGATGTATGGTGAACTTCTTTCACACCGTGCTAATTGGAGGTGCGGGAAATAACGTACATTTCGTCACTTCCGTGATTTTTCCCCAAAAGTAGTGCCACATTGCATGAGGGAATGTCCCTGTCGTTTGCATGAACACAAGCGAAATTCAGTTTAACACGTAGGCTTTCGCGACCAATATTATTCATAATACAGGTTTTTGAGTTAGACCACGTTATTTATAAATGTGTCGTAACCCTCCACCACCCGACACAGTCAAACAGTAACAAATGTGTCACGTTTACAAAGGACAAATAGTTCACTACTTTAGCCCACCGGTGTGATGAAGGCTTAGTGCGGCCTGGAAGTGTATTATTAAATAAAATATATAATACAATTACAATTCCTTATAAGGGAAACAAATACCAATGAATTACAATTGAATGATTACCAATCTATTATATAATTACAATACCCTCCCCGCCTCAATTCACTGCACCTGAATGAATTAAATGATGACGTCACCCTGCTGCTGCTCTATTTAAGACCGGGAGCAAGAGGAGAGCCTCACCATTCTGGCAAATCGCCCGATGAAGCTGGATGTAATTACCAGCGAAACGTCGTACTCAAATTTTAAATGATGTTGATTCACTCTTCAACACACCGGTGGGCTAAAGTAGTGAACTATTTGTCATTTGTAAACGTGACACATTTTTTACTGTTTGGCTGTGTCGGGTGGTGGAGGGTTACGACACATTTATGAATAACGCGATCTAACCCAAAACCTTTATTATCAACAAGCTAAATTACTTACATATTGTGAAATATCAAAACATTTGAAAACTTTTTCAAATTGTCCTTTGAAATCCGAAAGCTGAATTTGCCTTATTTTGAAGCTCATTCCTATGAACAGTAATATCTGGCTGTTTGCGGTATTACCATCTTGTTTGTCAGCTCTGTGAACAGATCAAACGGGGGACACTGATTGCATATGAATAACAGAACCAGCATGCACTGGCTGCCCCTTGTTGTAGCTGCACCCGTCGTGTGCTGTAGCCACACGTTCTACAATAACACCGATTCTGTTTCCCTGGCATGCAGTACAGCAACACACATCCTAAGTTTGAATGTCATAATTTTGTAGTTCACTTATAATAAACTACACTATGTATTGTTTTTTTTATTTTACCAGGTAAGGGTCACTGAGCTATATAGCTCTTTTACAGAAGCGACCTGGCTACAAATGATAGGTCAATGAAGTGGCTTATCACGTGGAAATGTATAGCAGAAGCCAAATACTCAAAGGGCATGTTTCTACATGTGAAGGCAAAAACTGGAGGACCCGGAGAAAAATCCACGCGACTCCAAATATATAGGGAGCCAGGGTCAGGATCGAACCCACGCCTTCCTGTATAATAGGCAAGGTAGCTAACATCTCACCACCGTGACACCCACTGTATATTGTATACTGCTCCCCAGCCTTGCTGATGAGCTCAATATGGACCGAATCCTAACAACCGAAGATGTTTCACATGGTTACAATGTTCTGCCTCAAGAATTAATAACAGTTTTTGAAACAATCTTCGTTCTCTATTATGGGTCTATTCTCTGTGATTAACTTTTCCTAAATCGCACCTTGAAGCCATTCTCTCTAAAGCTGATTTTAATTAAAAAAGCATTATCTGTTGTAAATGCAAGTGAATGCAACAGCGTTTAAGTTTTATAACCATGTTTGAACATTCAACGAATTTAATACCTAGTTAAACACTCGATTCTAAATTCAATTTACTTTGGATGCAAAATGCAATTTCACCTGAGTTACACTGAACACTCAGCCACGTACGAATGTTTATAATTTATTATTATTTCTGTTTACCCAGCAAAGCCTCACGGTGGCTGAAGACTCTTTGTCAGGAGGGTCCTTTCAAGTTTTCGCAGTAGGGGGCAATATTGCTGTGATCCCAATTTAGTAATTTGCAGATAACTTTTCCGCATTAGGATGTTTGGCCAAAACCAGTTACATCACTAATTCGACTTCTCTAATCGATCAGACTAAGCAGAGCTCCCTAAAACCTTCGGCTGCTAGACCACCCAGATTTTATGGTCTTCCAAAAATCCACAAAGTAGGTACCCTGCTCCGTCCTATCGTCTCCACCATTAACTCACTCACCTACAAACTGGCCCGATTTCTGTCTGAGACCCTGCTTCCTTTGACGGGCAAGTCCACCTCAACTGTACTGGTGGACTTGCCCGTGAAAGGAAGCAGGGTCTCAGACAGAAATCGGGCCAGTTTGTAGGTGAGTGAGTTAATGGTGGAGATGATAGGACGGAGCAGGGTACCTACTTTGTGGATTTTTGGAAGGCCATAAAATCTGGGTGGTCTAGCAGCCGAAGGTTTTAGGGAGCTCTGCTTAGTCTGATCGATTAGAGAAGTCGAATTAGTGATGTAACTGGTTTTGGCCAAACATCCTAATGCGGAAAAGTTATCTGCAAATTACTAAATTGGGATCACAGCAATATTGCCCCCTACTGCGAAAACTTGAAAGGACCCTCCTGACAAAGAGTCTTCAGCCGCCGTGAGGCTTTGCTGGGTAAACAGAAATAATAATAAATTATAAACATTCGTACGTGGCTGAGTGTTCAGTGTAACTCAGGTGAAATTGCATTTTGCATCCAAAGTAAATTGAATTTAGAATCGAGTGTTTAACTAGGTATTCAATTCGTTAAATGTTCAAACATGGTTATAAAACTTAAACGCTGTTACATTCACTTGCATTTACAACAGATAATGATTTTTTAATTAAAATCAGCTTTAGAGAGAATGGCTTCAAGGTGCGATTTAGGAAAAGTTAATCACAGAAAATAGACCCATAATAGAGAACGAAGAT